GGGTTAGATAAATGCTATAAGAAATATTGGCAAATGTGCAAAATCCTTGCCAATCCAGAAATTTACCAAACCAGTTGAACTGAAATGGAAATAAAAATATTAAAATTTAAAATAGTTACATTTTGAACATTGAAATGATTGGAATGATTATCAGGGAAAATTAGTATCAAATTTTTATTTTGCTTTGCGCATTTTTGATAAATGTATAAAATAGCATTAATTGTTGAAGTTGTGAATTTTTTTTATAAACGACTTTTCGTGCTATTTCTCATGTTATAATTAGAAAAATTAATATTGTGTTTGCACAATTTGATCCAAAAACCAGACAAAAAGGGTCTTGGGATCTAATTGTGCAGAATACAAATAATTAAAAAAACGTGTATAATTTCAAATTATATCACTTTTTCTATTCTTTTATCCAGCATTTTCAATATAATAGTATAACTTTGGTTAAAATATTAAATTGAAAATCCTGACATTTTTCTTCGTCTAGAATTTCAACACTAATATTATTGCTATTATGAAATACAAAATCTAATTAAGAGAATACGAGCCATATATCAAATTGATTTTCGTTTAGAAGGCAATTAAGTATTGTCATTCAAAGTCGGGTAGATATCACTTAGTCATATTGCGAAATAAATGCAATTCAATCAGTCAAACTGATGATATGAAATTGTATCCATTAATATTGTTGAAAATCATTAGCGAAATCAATAATAAAAAGCAAAACATTCAGAGCTAAGAGAATTCATTGCTTTCTTAAATAAATATTTCGTATATATTCAATTTGGAAATTGAAGATTTATTAATATTAAAAATTCATGAAATACTACAAATGATTCATTAATATATTTGCACTGACCTCATCAAAAATTGCACATTTATTTCCAAAACTTTTTTTTATCAACTAAATTTGCCTTTTAAATTGATCACATTTATTCATCAACTTATTTTCTGATATCAAGAATAGTGCCAAAAAAATAAAAATAATACATATGACGTTATGATGCAATTTTAAATCATGACATTGCATAGTAGTATTAATGTAAAAAGTAGAATTTCAAAGAAAATGATATTATAAAAATTACCTGTTTCACCACAATTAGAAGCTATAATTATCCAAGAAATAAAGACACCAACTGCTATAGCCAAAAATGCACTATAAAGGCAGCATCATATGCTGAATATTTATACTGAGGACTTGCAATTTTGTAAGGACCCAACATTTGAATAATAATGATCAACACTGAAATCCAGCATAATTTTACTGACCCTGCAGGATACATATAATTATAATAAATATGGTAAAAATTACTATTCGAGGTTGTACATCATAAGTATATGCAATTTGAACAATCATAAGTATATGCAATTTGGAGATTTCAAAAAAATTGAGAACAAATTTTGTTTGCAATAAGAAAAAACTGTAGAGCTACCTCTAAACAATTAGCAGCTCATATTGTGCAAAAAATATCAAACTTTATCAATTACTTGTTAAGAATATTTAAGGATATTAAGTAATGTTGATATAATTTATACAAAATTTTATCGTAGATATTTATAAAATAATTTATTGCCTGATATATTCTTGTAGTTGGTTCTAATATTAATAGTTTAGACATAAAAGTTTGGAATTACGTCGCAGTACAAATTTTGCATAAAATATTATGGTATTTTTCTTATGATTTAATATTCCGTATAATATAACTTTATTATGCACTGTAATATATAAATAAATGAAAAACTTGAAAACTAGAACACTATTATTATCAACAGCGGAAAACAACGCGGCTCAAACGTGGCCTCCAGCGTTTTAGAACGGAGAGTGTACAAAGTTTTTGTATTATAAAATCAAAAATGATAAATATATTGTAATAGGCTGTTACTGGAAAATCAGGTCGACAATTTTCAATAGATGGGCTTTATCTCTATTTATTATTGCACATAGAATGATCAAATCAAACTTATTTTGAAATAGCATGAGAAAATTGTAATTGATACATGTATAGTCGCACACATCAATTGTACGATGTTAACAAAAAAGTACTCTGTACAAATTTTTCATTTTTACCACGGAAATTGCATTTGCATAATATAGATATGAAATTTCATTTATTTTTATTGAAACTTGTTTTATTTTCTTAGTTTATATCCAAACTTGCATATCAGTGTATGATAAACGCTTTTAAAGTTTTTGAACTTTTGGATAGATAATATTAAAAATTATAAAAAATTCTTATGAATACTTAAATGTTACAATTTTTCGCTTGTTTCAAAATTTCATAATTTTATAATTTAAACCTCGCAGATATTGTAAGGGGTATGCACCCATTAAATAATTATAAATAAATATCATAATTGTAACGGTCAGAATACAAACAACGCAGTTATATTGAATTACTCATATGCTACAGCATTGTAAGCTCGAACAAGTTGTAAAGTATTGTTATCTAGGATTTCAAAGTCAGATTGAAGGCGAGCTCATAAAATGGCTTTTCATCAAGTTTCATTTACTTTTCAAATTCTGATCAGTTTCTTAGTTGTTGAAGTTATATGTAAAGTGTACAAGAAGTCATAAAATAAACAAAAAACAACAAACGTCTTCGTCTGTCTTTGAACTTACAATATATGTAAGATGATTGATGGATTTTCTCAAATCAAATAGCTTCATACTTAGGATTTTTTTAAACTAAGGAAGCTAATGAAAGACCAATTTCAATGAGTCAAAATCTCCAGAAAACTTACGATTTGCTAAAGTAAATTTGTCGATCCTTTACATCTTACATTAAGTGGGTATTTCTTTCAATGTGCATTAAGTAAACAACAATCTGCATCAAGATTGAGTGTTAAACGTATTTGCACTTAATATGCCAATGAAAATTTTGCATAATTCTTAGTAAATACGCATTAACCTTTGTCATATTGATTGTGTATCCACGTTTTATGAAGAAACCAAGGATAACTTCCATGAGATAAGGCGTAGATCTATGACTGGAAAGCATATATGATAGATCTGATGTTTCGGAGAATTTGGAGTTCCTGAAATGGAAATTAATTGATATATGTGAAATATATGCATTTATGAATTTGTATTTATCATCGGAATATAAAATATATATATACGCATTTTAAATAATTTCCTGCATTTTATTTGAGATGAAACCTAACCCTATATAGAGACATCATAATTGTAGTGCTTTTTTAGTATTACAAAGTTCGTGAAAATAATATTCAACTTTTGTTGAAAAAGTTTATTCATCCTAATAAATCAGTTGTAAACTTGCCTAGAGGCAGAATGCCATTATATCTCGTTAAATTCAATATGATGAAAGTTTATCAAATGCTTTTTTTATGTGATTTATATATTATTTATATATTATTATTTATATATTAATTGATTATAATAATTGAAGGGTTCTATACTTCTTAGTAGGAAATACAAATGCATTAATCAAAATTTCAATTTACTTTTCAAATCTATTGATTTATTCTGAATGTAAACTTACTACTTCGATATTATGATTGATTACCAGTAAATGCTTTATTTATGTCTTTACCTGTAAGAACAGGTTTAGTGCATAATATGCAAGCATTGTGCATAATACAAAAGAAACATTATTATTGATCATATAAGTTTTATAACAAAAAAGTTGCATAACGTTGCAATAACATTTTTTGTTGTAAACACGTAAAAAATATTGTATTGCACAAGAATTGCAAGCCAAGACAAAATAATGGCGTTGAAAATAGCAGGAATTTTAGTGTAATTATATATTATTAGTTATTATAATTTAAAAGTAATTTATATTTATTTTTGTTAAAATAATTTTTTTAAATCTGTATAAAATTAATTGTTTTCGTAATGATTGCAATATAAAAATACACCTTTTAAAATATTCCAAATTCAAACTATTTTTCGTGCATTTTTGTAAAAAAAGTAACGGAAAACAAATTGTTTTAAATCGATCAATATTCTACTTGTACCTTATTTGCTCCTTATTTTAAATAATTGCGATATGAAAAATATTCAAGAAAATTCTAGGCGATGCATGATAAATGAGTAAAGTTAGTGTTTTAATTTGTACAGTATATTTTAATCTATCATTATTTATATTATATTGGTTACTATTACAATTACATATTTGTTTTATTCATTTTTAAAAAAATATAAATATTGCTTACATTTTCAGATATAGATCTGAATCACAGAACAAAATACTAATCAGTTTTATTCATCACAATATTTTTTGTAAAATTTTTACTATCACTAACTAATGGAGTTTCACTTATTACTGAATTATATTTACTAAAGTATGATTTGGTTTTCTTCTTGTAACGTTTTCGAATAATATTTTCCTAATTTCTAAGAATGGATATTCTACTAAAACAGCCATTATCGTTGATGCTGCTACAATTCCTAATAACTCTGTGATATTTATCTAGAAAAAAATAATAATTAAATAAATAAAATAACTAAACGCTCATAATATTTTTAAATCGAAATAAAAATATATATATTTTCAAACCTATATGATAATGTACACTTACTAGGGCTCCCACAGTGAAATGTTCTGGAGTTCGGATTCGACCAATATTATAGAAAAATACTGGGAATTGTGTGAGATAAATGCCATAGGATAAATTTGTTAATATTTTAAATCCCCTCCAATCCAAAATCTTCCAAACCAACCTAAAAAATTGTAAATTAACATAAATAAACATAAATTACATTTTTAGCATTTAGAATATGAGCGTTGTAAAATATTTGGTAGGCATATTGGTCAGCTTAATTTTATAACAATTTTGCATTAAAAATCAAACAAATGTAAATATTTATACCTGCAATGAAATCAATAATAATGATGAAATAAATTTCCAAAATTATTCATCGATAAGAACGAAGCCAAATTGCAATTGACGTCATGGAATTAAGATGCCTTATAAAACTTTCGACTTTTTATACCAGTTTTTTTATTTTATATAAATTAATTGATATGATTTCTCAGGATATATTCATTATCAAATATTATTAAGGTAAAAATTTAAATAAATTAACACAGATTTGTTTATAAAAATTCCCAAAACCCTGCAGATTTAATTGATGCAATTTAGACAGAAAACTTGTAAATAAAATTTCTCAATAAATTTGCAAAAATTTTTAGCTTCATATTGATGATAGCTATATAACTGGTTTTATGGCCAAAATATTACTAGAGTGAGATGCTTCTATGAAATAAAACGGTGAGATGCTTCTATGTATAACACACTGAACTTTTGCATTGAGCATTAACAATTTATCTAAAATCAAAATGCATTAAATAATTTTAATGCAATTAATTAATTATCAATTACTGTATTTTATTAATTACCTGCTCTTCCACAGTTTGTTGCTGAAATTGTCCAGGCAATAAAAGCCCCGAAAGTCAGTGGAGCAAAAGCGCTGTACAGGGCTGCATCTTGGGCCGAATAGGCGTAGTGTTGATCTGCTATTTGATAAGGCCCTATCATCGGTATCAACATTACCACCACTGCTATGAACCAGCAATATTTAATTTGAGTCTAAAAAAATAAAGGTAATTGAAATAGTTTTTATTGAATCTGGGGTTGACTTATCTTTAGAATATTAATTGCCTTAATATCTTTTTATGTTAGCATTAAGATAACATTTAGAGTTACTCAATTTAAAATGCATTATTCTTTCTGCATCTCACGGCTCGATTTCATTGTAAACAAGTATTCACATATGATTGCTAAGTATCACCTCGGAACGCATAATGTCTCCGTGCAATTTATGATAAAAATCTTTTTCTGACGTGAGTTTGAAAGTTCTTTTATTCGACATGTGAATAATTTACGTAATTTATGCTAAGTGCTAAAAATGTGCATTGAATTGCAATAAGCCACATAATAAAGAATTATTTTTTTAAATTCTAGAATAAAAAAAAATTATAAAACCGCTTTTCATAGACCTTTAATATTTCATAGTGGTCAATTTAGGCACAAATCAAACCATCAAGTTTTATCAAAATCCCAGACGAGAAATAGAAGGGTTCTCCTCGTGAGGCATACTTTAAAGAATTAGCTTTGGTTATGATAAATCCGAATGTGTTTCAAATATTTATATGTTATGAGCATGAAAGTACAAGATAAGAATGCAAATTTCTTAGCATATATGTCACATCGAATCATATTATTAACCTTTGTGATGTTAAGTCGATTGTATCCACGCCTGATTAGGTATCCAAGGACAACTCCAGCCAGATATGGAGTTGCACGATGATCAGGCAGTGTGTATGATAAATCTGAGGTCTCGGAGAACTTTGAATTCCTGAAAGTTAAATGACAATAGATTCACATTTTTCATTCATAGAAACTCACATTATTTTAATGTCTGCATTATTAGCATATGTGGAAGCACTAACGACAACGACAAAATAATTTACTTAATTTGAATATGATACATAACTTCGAAGGCACATTTCATAATAAATATGTAGCATAATGACATTTACATAATTTTTCTATTTTGGCGGTTATTGGGTAAAATATTAGATAGATGTTAATTGAAAACAATTTGCCTCAGATGCATCAGAGCCTATGTTTCATCTACTATTGGCCATGTTAAGAGTTAAGATCAGAAAATAATAGTCATTGGCATAATTGAGTTATTTTAATTGGATTAATTTTGACATAGATTATCAATATGCATTAAAAGAATAAATTATCGCGTGCTAATTAATATATTATCTAATTATCTATTAATTTTTATACTTACGGCATACCAAAGTACGTCATAGGTGCCAAACGATTTTGCAACGTCACCACATAGCGTAAAACAGTAGATAAAACTGCGATCATACATGTTATCAAAAGCGCCCTCTTTGGCCATTTCCATACTGCCCAAATCAGTGGAGGTGTTGCCAAAAATAATTGCATATCTGTACCTAACTGATGTGTATGGGCCAGACACTAAAGAAACAAAAAATCGATGAAAATTTTAGATAGCCATTGGTAAAATAAAATTATGATGATAATTGATAAATTACATAAACGTGTGATGATAAAAATTATTTTTAGGTGAAAATTATTAAAATTCCAAAATTAAATGTGATAATTTCGGACTATCATTCTTTTTTCTAGTATAAAGAAACTGATGGTCATTGATGACGAATGATAATTAATATTATATTTTATTTATATATGGTAATAATATGGCTTCTCGAAGAATGTATATATTTAAAAAAATTCAATAACATAATTATAGTTTCAATTTTTATTCATTATTGAGCATGATTCAGATTTCATAAACATTTCTCACAACTAATATGTGAACATAAAAACTCTGATGTAGAACGTTACAGTCAGGCGCTTTTTTGTTTTAATTAAAAATATTGAAGTAGAATAATTAAATGTCAACTGATCAAGAAGTTAATTATATTCTTCATTTAATTAATTATATTAAAATAGATTGTTCCCTAAAATTAATAGTTATCTAGACATATAGGTGTGTAAGTTTTTGTATATCATAAATTTGAATTTTTTTAGAGCGTTTTGTAGCAAAATGTGCATTCGTAAGAAATCATTTTCACAGATTTAGTTAACATTACAAGTCATTTTTGAATTAAAGAGCAATTTAAATAAATATAGTGATTGGGTGTAGTCATCTTATATTAAATAAATATAGAGAATTGTGTAGTTGATCTTTATACAGGTTGCGCTATTTATATGTGGTCAATGAAAATGTTAAATGAGTTGAATAATTTTCAATTAATTTTGATCAACTGTTTTTATTATTAACCTAGCTAGAAAAATTTGTAAGCCTTTAAATTTGATAATAAAAATAAATTTTTCGAAATTCATTGAAAATTGTTCAAGTTATTCAACATTTCCATTGATCACAAATAAATGGTGCAACCCGTATCAGTAGCAAAATTCTACAGTAAAAATAACAAAATTAATGCAAATTGCGATAAGTTAAAAAAAACTTACTATATTATTGAATCCCATATAATTTTGTATAAAAAGCAAGTTTTTCCACATATTATCTTTGCAAAGTTCAGCATGCTGCCTAATCAACAAATTCCACTGTGGTCCAGAATCTAAATTTGGCATAATATACGTACAAAACAGCATAATGGCAAGTAAATTTGGAATAATCCTAAAAAAATTATTTTACTGATGAACAAATTTAATTATTAATATTTATTTCATATCTTACCTAAATAATCTTGATATAACTCTGTTGGCTATAGGAATTTTTCCCTTGTTGATCAAATCTCCTGTGAGAGCATGAGCATTTAGTAAACCACTGATCAACAAAAAGGAATCAGTATGGTACATCCCTGTTCTTCCAATAACGGTCCATGGTCTTCCTAACGACTTTTATATAATAAAAATGATTGTAATAAATTGTGTTCTTATGGTAAAATATTCAAAATTACTTACTTCTGCCATTCCTGTTCGATTTGAGTAAGGTTGATGCAAAAGAGCTATTGCTTTGTGAATGAATATGAGACAAATGGTATTGAAACATCTTAAACCATTTACAGCTTTTACGGCATTTTTGGATTCAGTGGGTTTGAATACTTTGTTTATATTTCTTTGTAATGAAAATGCTAATAGTAGTCCTGGAAAAAATAACTCATATACTCCCAAAGCGCCAACAAAATTAAAGAAAATTGTTAGTTATTGTACACTATTTAGTATGACTATCATAGAATGACATTATTTTCATTTCTAAAAAAGTGAATTTTTGAAAGATGAAAAAAATGTATATTTTTTCAAAGTTGCTGAATGTTGATATAACGTATTATAAGCACAATAAAATAGTTACTTCTAAAAGTACTGTGTTCTTCTTCCTCCAAATAGTCACCATCAATCAAAGTACTCAAGATTGTCATCAACATTATACTGCCAAAAAAGCAACTGCAATAAATAACATAATCTAGTAATAAGCTATATAATTTATTAGATCGATAACAGATCTGAAGCATAACAGACAAATGTTATGGCAAGGCTATGTTATGAAAAACTTTCTTTACTAATTTGTTCTAGATATTGACAAAAGTCATATGGTTGCTGTGCAGTCAGGCATTTTTCTTAGGTTGTCAGATTCAAAACTTAACCTAGAAACGGTAAAATGACAAAAACATGATTTGAGATAACAGGGTTTTTCTGACCCAGCTTCATAACATATATGTGACGTTGCACTTTATGTGTAAAATGCCTGGATGCACAGCAAATACATGAAATTCTGCCATAACATTGGTCTGTTGTGTGATAGAATCAACACAATATTATGATATATCTTCTATATTATTTTTCTCACTATGCAAATATTCTTCCAGGTGTCATTTCTCCCTGATTTGGTTGGATTTCTGTAGAACACTGTTGTTCTTGGACTCTAATATTGGTAGCAAATCCTTTGAAAATTTTCTTCAATTCATTTTCTAAATCTTTGGCAGAACAAGATGATGGCATGCACACTGCCCAGTCTATTGTCGTAAACCGTGGAAATATCATAGGTGACTATAATAAAATTTGATTTATTATTTCAATTGACAACAAGAACTAAATTACATAATTTATACCAGGCATTGGTATAGATATATTAGAATATATTTTTACTTGAAAATATAATTCTAAACACGATTTTAAGATTTAAAAATAGTCTTGCTTATAGAAATATCCTCACTACAAAAAGAATGGACAATCACTGGTTGTCTTCTACTAATAGAGGTTGAACAAATATATCACTCATGGCTAATGATAGTTACGATTGCTTTTGGTGTTAGTAGAAGATCAAATTAAAAAAATTATATCAAAAACAGTTATACTATTTATTTAACTTACATCATCCATATCACTGATCATAAAATTTTTGGCATGGATTAGCCAATCCAACTCTGGGTACAATTGCTTATTAAATCGTACATCCAACTCTGCTAAGCATATTTTCTCTAATAAATGATTCATCTTTTCTTATTGTTGATGCTATTCCTATACATTGGTCGAAATCTCCGAATTGTTTGATATTTCCTCTTAAAATTCCAGAAGGCAATTTAGCAGATGAATCGAACACTAGAATTCAATAATATAAATACAAAAATCGTTTTTTCATATGTTTTCTTTGTTGGAAATAGTGCTATGAAAAGTAATTGATTCTTTTAGGAAACGTCTAATTGAATAATGGTGAAAAATTATATTGTTATGACAAGACGTTAATCTAATTTATTTCGTAATATAATAAAAATTATAATGCTAATTAAATCAGCATTAAAAAATATAATAATATATAACCCGAGTACTCTACTTTAACAAAATATTTTAAATCCCATTTCTCCAAAATATATGATACAATCTATTGAAATAGCTTTTCTTCTCTAGTTGTAAGAAAATATTTATAATTTGGAAATAAATATTTGAATATCAATTTGCAAAATTTCTTTCAACTTTGAACTTTTTTATGAAACTTGTGAAAAACTATCTTTAAATTATATATTAATTAGAAAATTTCATAATACTTTTTATTTTAATATCTTTTGGGATTTATTGGCACAATGAATAAAAATATTTGAATTATATGATATTTTTATGATATTTATTATATCCTTCAATTAACACTTGTTTTTAATCTTAAATAGCTCTTATACAAGTATAAAAAATTTGAATTTAATATTTAAAAGTAGAAACGTAAATTTTGAATAAATATTTGGGAAAATTTAAAATAAATACACTGTTTATCCACAAAACGTTTCTTTATCATATTATGCATTTGAAATAATGAATGCAATTTTACTGAGTATTAGTGATAAATTTTAATAAGAATTTAAAATAATCATGCACAATAATTCCATGCTTTATGGAAAATTTTATCTTATCTTTATGGAAAAAACATTTTCAATGGTATTTGAAAGCGACTATTATTATTCAATTATATCAAATATTTAGGATTTTAAACTTTTTATCTGATCTAATTATCCGAAAACATGTTTAACACATAAATGTAAATATTCTTATAATATTATACATGAATTTTCTAACATGAGGCTTATTTTTTGGGAGTATTTTGATATTTTAATACCATTAGTATTTATTAACATTTGATTGGTGATTGGTGACATTTATTACTTTTATATATTACTTGCTATTGCAACAGATTTTTGTTCTTAATTTTTTAGATTTTCAAATATTAAACTTATTCTGATAAAAAAGTACTCCGTTCAATTTTTTCAGACAAAGTTAATTAAATACTTGCTTATCTAACAAGGTTTGGTAATTTTCTATTTGTTTCTGTTCAATTTCTCTAAACATGCTTAATATGTGTTTACTTAAGATATTTACTTTGGATATTAGAGATCTTGTGTCTTACATAACCATTTACTTAATGAAAAATTGTGGGTTAAACTGATATGGGTAAAATATAGCTCTAAAATATATTAAAGAGGGCATTTTTGTTAATCATTAATATAAAAAATTAAAAACAACACACGATATTAATTGTTAATCATTATTTGGGATTATTTGGGATATATATATATATATATATATAAATATATATATATATATATATATATATATATATATATATATATATATATTGATCATAAAACTTTTTTTGTTCTACGATGAACCATATCTCATAATATTAGTAGCGAGTAAGGTAAAAATAAAATAATAAATAATAAGAGATAATATAAATTATAAAATTTAATTTTTACGTTTCAACATCAAATATGTCTCATTATCCAGCAGTTTTAAAATCATATTAATTATAAGACAAAGAGAACAAAATTATTAAAACAATGAAAGTGAAATATCTTTTTTGTTTGTTTAACATTTAAGTTTGTTTCTCATCATTAGGTAGTTCTAAATTTAAATTAAAGTTTTTAAAATACTTAATAAAAAAGGCCAAAAACTTTTTCATGTAGTTTGCAAAACCATATAATAATAGTGATTTGCACTAAAAAGCTAAACTTCAAAAAAATCAACAATGATGTTTAGAATTAATAATAAACAAGTTCTGATGTGAAATATATCTTATAATATTAACAGCTAATAAGTCAAAAATAAATAATAAAATATAATTTTAAACATTTTAAGATTAGACCTGTTTCATTATTTGGCAGTTCTAAAGTAATTTGCTACAAATCGGACAAATTTTTTTTTTTTAAATTATTTAATAAAAAAGCAAAAACTTGGGAACTTTTTCATGTAGTTTACAAAACCATAACGATTGGGATTAAAATTTAAAACTTTAGGATAGAATACATATAAAATTATTACAAAAAATCAACTATGATGTTTAGGATTAATAATATATCACATTATGTAATTTTGTAAAGAATCATAAAATCTCTATTGAATTATGGGATGATTCAATTTATAGATTTATAAAAAATCGATCATTTAAGAAAATCTATGAAGAAAATTATGTATCCATAACATACCACCAAAAAAATACTTTAAATTCGCAAAAAAATTATTAACTCAAAAATTATAAATATTAAAAACTATATAGAGCACAAGCCAAATGTGTGCTTGATTTAATTATTAAAAAGCTTCACTGAAAAATATTTTATGAAGTTATGTAAGTTAAAAATGAAGTTTTAATATTACGTAACGCGATTTTTAAAAAATAATATATAATAATGTACAAACTTTTTAACGCCCACAATTCTGTCCTATTCAATCCTTTCAAAAACTCAACACTATCCCTTCTGCATACTGGATCATCACTATTAGAAGGCACTAAAATTTTGGGAAAACTATTCCACAGATGTAAAAAATTAACTTCACTTTCCACATCACTCAAATTGGTATCTAACACTGTAACATTACTTATATTTTTATCATAACACGAATCACTTTCGCTCTTTTTAAAACAGGATTCATTGGTATCTGGTCCATAGAAATTTAGAAATATATCACTTCGATTTTCTTTAGAGCAATTGACTAATGTAAAAGTTAGTATTAGGTGTGGTATAATTTTTAAAATCATTTTGGTCGAATGTTAGTGAACTAATATCATCACTTTTCTTTTCTATATGTACATGTTCATACAGTATTCACCTTGTTCTGACTTCAATAGATTTATGATGTGATTTTAGAAATGCCAAACATAGACAGCGCTTCTTATATATAGGCTATTTGTTTAAGACCGTAACGAGATGGAAGTACAAAGTATAAACTGTTCTTAGAACAAAATTTACATATTATGGCTCATCTTAAAATAATATTCATAAATTTCTTTGTTAACGAAATTTGAGTAAGAATACGCATAATGGATGTATCAAGTTTTTCATAAAAAATCTTTAGAAATATATTATTGTAAACTACGAATAGTTGTGTACTTCTATAGTAAAAATTATTTTTATATTTCTGTACTAAAATATAATTTTTCATTTTAATTTGAAAAATAAATTAATAAACTAAATGAGGTAAAAAAGACAAACTGAATCCTTTTCCTGGCAAAGGTGTAAATGAAGATTTCATTTGCAATGAAGAATAGTGAATTGAAAAGTAAATTTAATTAAAAGAGCAATTTTACAAGAGATAAATGAAATAAGTAGTTCTTCCAATTCCTCTGCTGATGAATATTTCTGACGATACACCAGATCAAGGTTATATACAGTGTTATATTCAGTAAGAAATGTACCCATTAAACTTATGATTTGAATTGGTTCATAAAATTTTTTCATACTTAAGACATTGGACCTGTATGTCCTCTGGCCGTCCCATTTTCAATCCGTGTATGGGGTAAAAAGGACCAGGTGACAAATTTTTGAAAAACAACGAAAAAACACATTTCTACAATTATGAATTAGTTGGGAGTTTCACTGAACATAGTCAGATAGTTGTTTGTTTGATATATGTTATTTGTTGTGATATGATTGGTTTGGTTTTCACAATATATTTGCTCAAATTCTAATTGGACCTTTGTGCCCCGCCCTGCCTGCGATAGATTACCATATTGAAAAACATTATTTAAAATATATTTAAAGATGAACTCTGTATTCACTTTAAGATTTACATATTAAGGCATGATTTAAAAAAATATTCATAAAGTTCTTTGTTAAACGCATAGTATTTTCTAACCGAATAGTTAAAATTAGTCACACAAGTTTTAGGATAAATTTATATAAGAACACGGACAATTTATTATTTTAGAAAGTTGATTATTTATATTAACATTACGTTTAATACATTTAACCAATTTTGTGACAACTTGTTAGAACTAAAATTTTTCAAGTAAATTTGTTTGTCTCTTCTTCAACATTTTAGTTCAACATTATTTTGGGAGTTGCAGATATATTTTTTTTTACTTCGGAGATAAATCACGTATCGAACAGAAACTATTTGAAGTGTCTTAAATTTGGGAAAAATATATAATGGGGAATAATATATTCGCCAACAAAAATTTAAAACTACACTTTCTGTTTTAAATTTACACTAAATAAACTATTAACAAATTTAATTTTTTCTTTGATTGATTTATTATTATTAAATACTCACGGTGTCTTTATTCATTTTCATCAGAGATTTATAAATGAAGAATATTTACACTTGTGACTTTGCAATATATATAAAAGAACTAAATTTTGTTATTTTACTTACGCATAAATTGTTGATTAAATTAAAAATGTCTACATGATGTTACTTGTACATTATTCTGTTTGATATTTATTTTAATTAGCATTGAATATTAATTAAGATAACAAAAGCTTCTTCTTATCTTAAACATGTTTATGATTTTTCAAACAATATTATGATTGTTTCATTAAGTTTTAGTTAATTAAAAGAACAAATCTCTTTTTTATGTCGAACTTCTTATATTTGTTTAAATAATATTAAAATACAGTTTTCGTAAATAATAAAATCTGTTTAGATTGTAGAGAAATAATTTTGACAATAGTTGCAGATACACCAATGAATTTTGTGTTATTGATTTGGAATTTTTCTAAATTTTAAAATTTTAAAACTATTTTACAAAATAACATCATGTAAAACATGAGAATAAGTAAACACTAACCTACATTTTATTCAAGGCTAAATTTTATGAAATCCATTGTTAGCTTTTGTAGTACAAATATTATATTTTTCAAATACTAAAATTTGCACGCATACACCTACTGATTAAAAATTTAGGTGTAATAGTAAAAGCTGTGTAATAAGAGTTTTTACTGAACATACTAGATAGCAAATAACTACTAAAATATAAATATTACTAATTTTTAATATTATTAATATAAAAATTTTCTTACAAAATACGCTCCCAAAATCGTCTGAATGATTACAATGATATAAGCGCTAATAAGCACTAAACAAATTATTTTGTGAAAAAGTCCAAATGATATGTTCAAATGCGAGAACATTGTTTTTAACGAGATACGCCTTTTCATTATATTATACAATGTGTATTTATGTAATATGAAATATACAACGATTTGTAATTTTGATAGACGTAAGAGTTTAGAAACGGATATTACTTTGCAAAGTAATATATTTATTAAAATTCATTTTATTTAAATAGTAGAAAAATAGTCGAATCATGGTCAAAACTTTCAATTGCATGAGTGTATATAGATGAATAAAATGGTAAGTATAACTTTCGTATGAATTGAATTTTTTTCATAATTTTTCAATAAGAACTCTCTTCAATAAGAAGAAAAAAAAAATTAAAATTAAAATATTTTCTTTTCTACAAATTTGATATTTTGGTGTATTTTTTATTTTAACAATTTTTGCAGCCAATATTTGTTTTGAATCTAGAAATGTTTTATCACTGGGATTAAACTTTTATTAATTTTTCTATTTTCTAATTCAGACTTCAATTTACAAAAAATATCAAGTTTATTTCATCTTCATTTCTTTGTTTTAGAAAAAAAAATGAAGTACCTACAGATTATCTTCTTTTCTACGCATTTGATATATTCCATAGTCTTTTTTCACTTTTTGAGGTATTAACTTTGTCGTGTACTTTTTTAATTTAACAATTTTTGTAGCCAGTATTTGTTTTCAATCATTAGTAATGTTTTATCATTGGAATTAAACTTTTATTAATTTTGCATTTTTTTCATTTCCGACTTCATTCTACATAAAATATCAAGTTTATTTCATCTTTATTGCTTTGTTTTCCATGTATTCAGATTTCCCATTTTCAACCGGCACGATCAATTTGTCTTTAACCTAAAACAACGCTTAGATCCAGGTTAGATTGCGACAGGGCGTACCGGTTAGGGGTGGGACTTGGAAACATTTGAATATAGTACGTTCAAACCACATGGAATCATGGTTGTCGATGTGTGGACCTTTGTGAGTATAAAAAATATATTCTCAGCATCTGGGTGAATGTTCCTAGAATTTAAAGACATATTTTGAAAATCCAAATACAGAGCATACAGTTTTGTAAAACTACACTGAATTTTTTGAACCACAAAAAGAAGCTCTTATAAATTTAATTCATTTTTTAGAGTTGTGTAGATTTTTTGCCACAAAATATAAATAAAACATTTTAATTTTATTATACACTTTTGTGCTGATATTATACAAACAGAGTATAAACAAAATAAGTGTAATTTCATTTTCGCTAATTTTTGTTCAAAAATGTTGTTTATCACACTGCAGTATTTGTTCATTCTGAAGACATAATGCCATTCAATTTAAAATTTTGCTAATGAGACAATGACGTAAGAAACTTATAATTCATTTAATACAACAAACAGAATCTTTGTGATTTTTGTCCATAAATGCATATCCTTTCAAATAATTAACAATCTATCATAACCTTGTCAGAAGCAATTCTTGTCTGCAGTACTAGCCAAATATCAACAGGACATTGCGTTTTGCCGAATGATACTAAAAATAATTCAATGTTACTTGGCTTTTTTCCAAATGTCTCGTTGCGCCAATTTGCTACTATATGCTCTATCTAAAGTTGAAGAAATCATTTAGTAGTATATTTCGATGTGATGTAAAGTGGTTTAAAATTTGACTTAAGTTAAGTGGTTTAGTTAAAAATTGTTGTGCGATTGATTTACTTTACTTAATAATTTTCAATACAACTTTCTTACAATTTGGCATTATTTTTAAATGGGAACATGAAATTGACCTTGATCTAATTTATGTCTCTTGCATCCTTCAAATTCTACTAAAAAAAAACTTCTATTAAGAACCAATTTTTCTAGCAATTTTTTTTAAGTTTTTCTTGAACTAATACATATTTGTGTTTGGAACATCTTTGAAAGAAAGTGAAATACAAAGCAAACAACGTGAACTATTGATTTGTTTTGTCACTTTCTAAACTGTTCAATACATGCGACTGATACTATGTAGAATATTATTTCACAAAATGCTAATGAGAAACATTTATCGATGGACTGAGCTATTTACGATCTTTGTAAAAAATATTAATAGATAAATAATATATATTCAAATCGAAATTTTTAGTATACGCTTTTATCACCAAGAATCACAAGAATCATCATCGTTAAATGACTTCTTAACTATAGTAGCTTGTACTGAACAAAATGCTTCAAAAGTTTTCTAATATTAATATAGTATTTGCAATTTGTTTATATTTTTACTTATTCTTTTACAATAATTTTAATTTTATTTTTTAACAAGGTTACTTCAATAATTTTACCTTCTACTGGTCCCACAAACATTGTATTAAAATCTATAACTTATTTGAAATCAGCAAAGAGAAGCTCTCATCTTTTACATTTATATTTTTATACATTAAATTATAATGAATAAAAACATATTTTATATTTATTGTAATCTTTTTACATTATTGTTTTAAGTAGCTGCATTCAATTTATTGTTTGTATATGCGTTTGAAAATTGCATTGACTCCCAATTAATTTTCATAACAAGTGATTCTTTGCTAATATATTATTTATTATAATTTAATATCTTGTACTTTCCTAATAAATTATTTGTAGAGTGTAATTAGAGACAATAAACGAGTAATTAGAAACGAACGAAGTTAACAGTCCGAATGTTTTTCATATATAAATTTTATTAATTAATTTTATATCAATAGGCTAAGGATTAGAATCGAAGGTTGAACATCCGAACGAACAATATGAAATTTTAATTATCAAAAATATCAATAACTGAGTGACTTATAAAAATGTGATTTATAAAATGTGTTCACCTAAATTATTGTTACTACTAATTTGTGTAATAAGTTCTGTTATTATATTATGTGATGGTTTCAAATTGCATCTTAATAGAGATTTAAAAGACAAAGAAACTACTGAAACTGATCATACTGATAGAAGTGAATTTAAATTTAAACCTCTGAAAGTACATGTGGACGAAAAATCATTTATATCGGTTGAAGATGATTCTGAGGAACTAATAATACACAAGGTGGAAAACGTGGTGAAGAAACAACTTGTTAAATCTGAGGAAACTTCTGACGAAAAAGATGATATTAAAGTTGAAAAATTACTGCCAAAAGTTAAGAAAGTGGAAGCAAAAGTTAAAACTGTCGAAGACAAAGCAATTCCAAAAACTGACAAGATTATTCAAAACGATGTGACAAAACCAAGTGATACTACTAAATCGCCAAAACCTCTAAAACAAGAACACCAAAAATTAGACATATCAGTGTCTAAAGTTGATAAAACTGTAACTATTAAAGAAAAAGAAATTCCGGAGAAAACTAAAACCGATGGCAAGAAACCAGATTTAAAAATTACAAAGAAGAAAGATGATATATTATTGAAGGATAAATTAGAACTAAAAAATGACACTGCCATTAGACAAGAGAAGAAGGAGACTGCAAAACCTGAGGCCACTAAGAAAACCCCTAACTTAGATACTGATACAAAAAAATCTGATAAAACTAAAAAAATACCTGTAGAACAACCACAAATACCTGAAAAAACTGACAAAATTACACTAACACAAAAACATGAAGACCAAGGTCAAATCCTCCTTCAAGATAAAGAAAAGAAAGTTGATAGTAAATTGGATGCAGCCAAAAGCGATCAGGTTATTGAATCAACACCTGAATCAAATGGAAATTTGGAACAAGAACAATTTAATATATTATACAGGTCACTTCCCTCTTTTGCTCCAAATTATAACATCGTAAAAAACGACAAATGCCGACGTGAAGGCCAAATATTTCTGAGACAGCTGAGAGGACACAAACTCTGGGCGCTGCAGAGTATGTATATGTTTACTGATGTAAAAATAAACTGATGCGCCTTTTAAAAAAGATTGATTGAGATTGAAAGTTCTGCATCATATAATAATTATTAAATGTCTTTAATATATAAAAATCACACAGCAACCACTACATTTAAATTGATTTTTATAGACAACCATGATTTTATTTTGAAAATAATTATTAATATGATATAAAGACAAACTGAAACTTGGTTCTTTAAGAAATTTAATTCTAGAAAAGAATTTTACATTCTTCTTTAAATACTTTTTCTTGTTTTTATATGTTTTTAGAATATTTAGGTATTTCTCACAAAATTTCCTGATTTATACATTTTTCTTTATGTGTTTCATAAAATATGTGAAAAATTATTTTAATGAACTATCATTACCATTACCCCTATTTCCCTCTTTTTATATACATTTTTTATGTATTTTTCTTTCCAAACTTCTGATTCCATGCTTCCTGGTCCTGTGCTTCAGCTTTCAATTCTCTTTATTTTCAATTTTTGTTTAAATCATTAACCATGTGCATTCTTCTTCTTTCTAGTCCTTCTAATTTATCCTCGACGACGTCATGTAAAAGGCAATATTTTTTTAGAATGGGGTTTGATCCAGTTTCCTGTTTTTTTAAAGATCGTACTCAGTAAAGTCCTTTCTTCGTCCACTCTTCTCAGTACTTCATCATTTGTCACCCTATGTTTTTGCTTTATATTTTTCATTTACCTTTAGTACCACATTTCATAACACTCCAGGTAGTTTTGGTCGGTCTTGCTTACTGTCCATGTCTCTGATCCGTACAGAGCTATGCCTTAAACATAGCATTTTATTAGCCTTTTCTGTAAATCAAGACTCGACTTGCTCGCCAGTAGCGTTATCTTCTTTGTAAATACCGCCTTGGCAAGAACAAAGATTAATTTATAATTGAACTAATTTATAGTGAATTATATAATATAAAGTCAATAGAACAAATAGAACTTTTTTATATTCAGTTTTACTATTTATTTATTTACGATGTTTTTTGTTCTTTTTATTAATTAAATTCTTTTGGTTAACTCTGTGGCTCATAAATTTAACAATATTGCACCGAATGCTCACATAATTATATCAGCAAATATATATTTATATTAGGGTGGTCCTTAATATGGACATTTACAAATTTCCTTGCTCCCAATGGTTCAAAATTGACAAAAAACAATTCTCTGAAAGTTTTAGCTCTTAATATTAACTTTTAGATAGTTAATTTTTGAAAGTTTTTTCATGCTATTTCCATACAAAACTTTGATTGAATTGCGCTCTATCTAATAGACAATATTAAGGGCTAAAACTTTCAGAGAATTGTTTTTTATCACTTTGGAACCATTTGAGCTCTTGGGGGCAAAGAAATTCAAAAATGTCCATTTCCATGTTTAAATTTGTATATATTAACTATTTCTAATATCTATTTAATTTTTACCTTGTTTCCATTTCCAGTGTTGGATGCAAGTGCCCAAATTCCCATCAGGCATCCTCCGCGGCAACTTAAACCAGCTCGGCGACTACGACGCCTGTCTGGACGCGTTCGCCCGCGTCAAGGTGCACCAGGACAAAGCCGCCGTCCCCGTCCGCGGCAAGTACTGCCTCGCAGAAATTGATTTTGCTGCTGTCGCCGAAGGAGCTAGGTATCCGGTGCATCTATTACAGGCCAGGAATTTTATCAGGAGCAATAGGAAAGATGTAAGTGTATTAGAGAATTGTTTTGATGTTAAGAGGTTTCATATAATAAAGTGATAGCTTAATTCAAGATAACGTCTGGCTTGAGGCCAATGTGTGATGATGATAAATATACAAATCGTGTTTTGTTCACGGTATATAACAATTAAACACTTAAAATAATACTATTTCAAGTTTTAAAATATGGCCAGAATCACTATGAATGATTAGATATTAAGCGGCCTGCGAATTATAAATATTCCATCACTATAAAATGTGTGAATGAAACCACTTTTTAGTTCACGATATATATTGATCTTCACTCTACAACCTTCTTCTCTCGTTACTTTTGCTAGTCACCTAGTTAATATAAATTACAGGTATTTATATTTATACATTTATACCCTCTACCCCAAAGGGTCCCGGGTTAAACAGTAAAAGCTCTGATCAAATCTTGACCAAAATAATATGTAAGCTTTTTCGAGAGAAGGTACCTTCTCTCTTTATAGTACCTTTTCTCTTTATGAAGGAGAGAAGGTACCTTCTCTCTTTATAGTTTTGCCTTTGTATTTAATAAAACTGGCAATATGATCACGGTTATCAAATCAATTAAATTAATTCTTTTCTATAAGTAAGACTGTTGAAAAATACTTTTGTTTACCCTTCAAGGGTTTTGTGCTTTTTAAATAATTTGTGTATTTTATGCTCAACAGAGAGTTAAATTGAGGGGACTTCTTGAGCATGAAAGACTTAAATGTTTTTAAAAATCTCAGAGCTTTTCTTTGAATAATGCATATGAAAATTTATTTTTAAAATTATAAATGACACTTGAATCACTTGTATAAATTGAAAAAAAAACACAGGATTGGTTTCAATTAGAATTTGTGCTAACTATAGTTTTGATTCATTTGATTTAAAAGTTATTTATTTTTTAGCATGCTGCATCGTGCATCAATTGCTATTATAAATTCTATATTGAATTACATTATTAGTTTATACCAAAAGCTATATAACAGACAAAACTCAATATGTTCTATGTTATACCCTATAAAATTACCCATACCAATTTTTTGGAAATATAATATTTGATTTCAGTAATAATGCTCAGTTGCATTTTATTCTAATACTCCTGAATCTATTTAAATAATTTCACAGAAACTCATACAAATTTATATATTAAACTAAGAATCACTAACAATAATGTAGGTTTTATGCTTCTTTAATTAATAAATTTTATAGAACTTTTTTTTCTTCAAATTTTATTATCTCATTTTAGTATACAATGTCCCTTTACGGCTGACAATTGTAAATTCCCCAAATTTACTAAATGTCCTTAACTAGACAGTTGTGTATAAAATAAAGAATAAAAAAAAATTATTTTATAATTTTTTTATTTTTCTATAAATATTTGATATAGTTTACATCTCTATACAAAGACATTTTAATTTAGTCTACCTAATAATTAATAACAATTAATAATTTTGCTATTAATTCGTTTCAATCCTAATAAAATTATTCTTTTAATAAAAGATCTCATCAATAATATCAATTTCAAATACCAAGTTATTTTTATAAATATCTTTAAAAATAGAGATTATTTCAGTACGTGATGTTTTGTTTGCGTTTTAACGCTTGAGTAATCCATTGCACCTACTTTTACTAGATAATCTCAATGCTAAAATCTTTCAAACTTATTTAAACATTGCATCCGTTGGATTTGTTTAAGATTTGTTCAAACAAAATTCTATTATGTCAAATTATGATAATTAATAGTATAACACTAACAGCAAAA